TTTTTTCCGATGCTCGACTGCCCTATCCTTGTGTTCCTGTGCGAATTGGAGACGTTTTTATCTTGTTAACTGCAGACAGCAAAGGTGTTGGAACAGGCCTTCAGCTTCCATATCCCATACGATGCAGTGTACGGCGAACAGTGCGTTCAGACATCATTTAAGAGGATCCCTGATTAAGATCTGCAGTAATTTGATGCACTGTTGCCCTTCTGTTGTCTTGATCCAGTCTTGCCACTCTCCGTTCTGCCCTAACATTGACTAGTCGCTGACAGCCACAATTCGCACGTTCAGACCAAGATTTTCGGCTGACAGTCCAGTCTTTAAACACTTTAACAACAGTTGCTCTTGAACATTTAACGAATTCTGCTGTTTTGCTGATACTCGCTCAATGGCTCCAACAATCATCCGATTACCCATATCTTCAGAAAAAAATCACTTCTACTGTCATGGTAAACAACCTGCTTCCCTATTTATGATGGTCTGGCCCTCTAGCAACTTCAGCGCGAAATTCTAGCTAATTTGCCTACAAACGTGAGGTGGTCATAATAATCTGGCCACTCAGTGTGTATGTATGTACATGCGCTTGCTTAGTGCTGCCTCCATTCCAATGTGGGACATATTGTGGTAGCAGTGTTAGCATGTAGAATGTTGTGGAGCAGCGCTCTCTAACATGCACAATGTGCATTAAAGGGTAAGTTCACTATCCCCAAGTATTTTAGGAAAATGGAATTAGCCACTCACATCTGGCCACCTCAGCGAATGGTCCTTCCTCTCCACCGGTAAAGGTGTATTATCTTTACAGAATGGTAAGTCTGGGGGGAGCGGGGGGGGGAGGCGCTATGGAACTTCAATTTCGTTCGCAAATCGTAGTGCTTGTGGCCCTGTAGACAAACTCCTGGCTGTCTTCTTAAAGGAGAACTATGGGATGAGTGAAATACACTCATCCCAATAGCTAGAGCCGACATGTGACACTGCAGCTGTCACACGTCAGCTCCATCAATTTGAGAACTGAGCGATCACAAACCACTGACCGCTCAGTTCACGATCCTCTCCCTGCAGAGAGCGCTGACTTGTCAGTTGCAGCTCCCCACTGGGATTCTCCCCAC